GCCAATGACTGTTTGATGTGCTTCGCAGACACGTTACAAGGCTTACCTTCTGAAACAGATTAATTAACCAATCGACGATGGCCTGGTCATCTTAATCACATCTGCTTTTCCGTCCGAGCAAATCAGTGAGCTAAAAAAGGCAATGTGTTTTTCTCTGATTGCTTCACGTTACACGCATGTGAATTCTAAACCAGCCATAGTGTACTGTGCGTGAAATACGCAATGGCACTGCAATAAAATGAAAACCTGATTTAACCAAATATCAGGACATTTTCAAGACAAAAACGACAAACATCGACCTGGTCGCGAATGCGGAGAATAAATCGAATGTACGTTCATCGTGAAAGACCTCAGAATAAGTTACTTGTTTGCTCTGCTGAGGCTGAAATGGATCCTACTGGTGCTAGCTAAGTATCCGATTCACCCGTAAAGTAATTAAGTGATGATTAGCAGCAGCATAGCTGATACGCACAAGCTGGCTATATATTCAATTGGGTAATGTTTCTTATTATGCACGACGGCTTAGAAACTTTATGGGACTGAAATAACTGAACGTCACTCCTCGATTGCTTGTGTCATGCCTATGGTGTTTCACGCTGCGTCTATGTATTTTTTCCGACCTCATTCGGAAAGGTTTTGTAAAGCCCTGAAAATCCCTAAAATTTGTTGTCTTTCTAAAATAACTTTTAACCCTAACTTTCAAATCTACTGACATTTTAGACTGGCGCATTTATGGACCCATCAACCTGTCTGGCCAAGATAATTCTGGAAGATAAACATCATCCTCAACACCTGCATCTTTCTCAGTGCGTATTTAAAAAAATCAAACAAGCTGTTCTACCTACATATGCAAAAGCGCTCAAAACGAATTTTACAATCATTCGACGATTCTATTCTTGGCAAGAATATTGATCGAATTTGTGAAGGAGTGCAGTCAATTCTTGGTTTAAAAATTCAAAAGTTCAGGAAACCTTGAAAGAAAAATATTGACTACATACTAAGATTAAATTGTCTTATCATTACTATGCAAGTCACGTGACCACGTGCATTAAGTGTGTATATAAGTGACCTCGGTGGGAAACTACTCTGATGTTCCTGCAGATGAACAATATCATTTTGTTGGCTATAGCGAACAAAATATAGTAGATGATATCAAAGTAACTCGTTTGGCATTTTTGTTTTCGCTAAACCTCATGGATGATGTTCAAGCCCTTTTACAATCCAGTCTCAGTGAGGTATAGAGGCAACAGTTCTATTTGGACCTCCTCTTGGTCAGCTGATTTGCCATTTCCCTCTTTCTGACAGAAACATATTTTTTGCGTTAGCTAGTAGTTCGCCGTTGCTCCCGCCGTTGCCGGTTGTCTTCTGCCGAAGCTCAGACTCTGGCACAGGATCGAGAATGTTGGAAGCTCTGTCTGACGCGTCTGCCTCCGCGACCCGAAAAGAGAAGCGGCGATGGAAGATGAAGTTGGTAGTTCAAACACTGAAGCTGTATGCAAAACGCCTCACTTCTCCAGAATGGAATCACTGTAGTCTGAGGGGTGCTTCACCAGTTGTTGAAAATGCTCATTGAATCTGCTGCCATATTTTATTCTTGTCAGCGTACCAGAAGTTTAACATAAAACTTTGCATAACTTCTTCATCTACATTCTCTAAGGCAGGCGAATGTCCGCTTACGGTTGCTAAGTTAGAATGCTTCTCTCATCAAAATCGCAGCCTAGCCAGTCATTTTTTCCTTAATCAGACTAAATTCATTTTTCTTAGGTTTCTTCAGTGTCACATTCCCGCCACTTTTGCTGCATTTATTTCCTAGAGCATTTTCACTGCTCGAATATCGATGCTTGGCAGATGTGCTCTAGAATTTTAAAACGCTTTCACTCGCAGCTATTAGATTAACTGATTAAACAGTTGCCGAAAGCGATCTACGAAGGTCGTGAATGATTCAACGCCCGACAAGGGAAATGGTAAGAGATTAGTCCAAAAATAAGTTACTTCATAAAACAAGCAAGTGATTACCTGACAGTTCAACTTTTGATGCAACAGGGTCGTCGAAAAAATCAGCTGGGACACTAAAACGCTAAACTACCTGATAGAATGACACAGAAAATAAACAGTACTTTTGGTGCTCTTTCCTAGACTTCTCTCGCTGGCCAACCGCAGTTTCGTCTACTATATAAACAACAGATTACGACTAAAAATTCGAAAATCATTAAGCTGCATGCTATAACACACATCTCGCTTTCTTCGGTGGCGGAAACTGTTGCTGGGAATTTACTGTGGCCTCGGCGGCAACGGGGGACGATGCTCTGGTTTTCAACTTAAGCAAGTTCTGAAGGTAAAAAGTAGCGACGCTGTACGTACAATCAAATTCTCACACTTCTTTGTGAACTCTACCGCACGCATGAGCAGTCCAAACTTTGCTGTTTTTAACGGTCCAGTTGCAAAGTTTGCAAATTATTTGACCATAGGATCCAACTTTGGCAAATGGAGAATTGACTTTATGCATTGACGCCATTATTACGTGTTGAAAATCAAATCAAGTCATTCGAAGAACAGCTCTAAAAAGTTCAGCTGCAGAACACTGTTGCAAAAACCTAAAAATGCCTCACCGACTCAAACTTGGTTTAACAATAAACAAAAATGAACAAATAATACAATATAATAAAAATCTAGCCTAACTGAAAGATCTGATTTAATTCTTATATCACAGCTGTTTTGAAAACAGTCCCTTCTGCCATAACGAATAAGAGTTTAGCTCGCAGCCTCTGCCATGCTTTTATACTTTTTGAGCTGCGCATAAACTGACGAGCTTTTGAGCTTGCCCCATGTATCAGTCATTTTTATATCTAACTGCAGATAACTATAGTCGTCGATCATAGCGTAGCGGCAGACGATCACTTGTGTAACTTATTAAAAAGCAATTCAATTCAATCAGCTGTAAGTAAATGACTATTAAAATAATCCGAGCATGGATGCTAGGTTCCCTTTGGTCATTTTCGAATTTCAAACTCTACATTCGACGCCTACCATAACAGGGTCGAACTTGGGTGAATTCTGAACAAAAGAATGATTCAGAAAATGCGCAGCAAAGTATAAAACAGCATTTGAGAATGTAACGAGCGGTTAAAACGCAATTTGACGCCTGTGCCGGTAAATATTACGTGAAAGAAACTGTAACTAAATTAAGCAGGGCATGTTTCAATAAACTGTGATCAGCACTTAATCACAAGATTCCAAATAAGAAAAGAAAAGCAAAAGATTACCACAAGAAATATAGGCTCAGTGGAAAAATGAAATTGTTGAGTTTTAACAACAAAACGTGTTTGCGAGACGCAGAAGCAAATGGCACAGCCGAAAAGTTTTGAAGACTTCATTTCTGAGTTAGATTGAAGGGGCTCCGTGAGACAATAACAGTGGCAGTGACGTGAAAGGAGCTGAAAGCACAAAGTGTGTTAAACCATCTGAACATTTCCACTGTCTGGAATGAAATAGGCACTACATCTTGTTAGAATGAACCATGCAAGATAAAGAAGTAGCTGATGAAAAATCAACCGAAGGAAAGTATGCCGGAGTGATTCAAACTCTGCGGAACACTACTGATGAATGTTTTATCTTCTTAATCAACGGAGCATTCATGTATTAACAACGTGTTCATCAAACGCGCGAAATATCGCACTTGGTCATATACCGACTTCATTACTGCCACAGCTGATGATTGAAGACGGCCACTGCCAATTTGAAACGAGAAATCTTATTACGTTCAGATATCAAAAGCAAAGTCAAATCCATTCTAGCGCGCACTGAGTTTTGCCTCAGATCGATACCACAATTTTTGTCTAGGATAGTCAGAAATCCGGAGGAGCAGAACCTTACCATTGCACAGAGCTTGCAATCTCAACGTAATAGACGTTGAGTTCTTTAATTGCTGCATTATGTATCACATTTTACAGATGCTGCGCGCTGAGAGCAAACACTTTTGCCTAAGCCAATAAAATTCTGCGTCATCCGTTCTTCCCAGTCAACGAAACAAAAACGAAACGCCACCGGTTTTATTACGCGCGTACGTTACCGCATCATAGTTATACACAGGCACCTCTACTACAACCGATGCCTGCTTGAATGATTTCGTAGGAAACCACAAACAAGGATACTTGCCATAATGCCGTAAAGACTGAGTAAGCAGATATGCCTACTAATTAATGCAAGCCATAAAAATGTATCAAATGAAATCCGACTTTGAGCCTAGCCTTTTCTACGTCGTCGCGCGAAGGCACTGTGATTTCAAACGATGGCGACATTCTCCTTTCTCGAGAACTGGGTTATGACGGTTCGTTTGGGTGGTGCTGCACGTACTGCCAGATTAAACATAAGCACAACAAAAATAATGACGTATCGTACAAACCATACCGTAACGCGCCCGCATCCGACTTGATGGAACTAACTGTAATTAAGCACTACGAATCCAATTTTGTGAAAAGAAAAGATTTTGTTCAAGTGCGAGTAGCCGAAGGTACTCGCAAAACTCGCAACAGATCTCGCATACGCTGATAAAATTGTTGCTGAACAATTCCGCCAATGGCTTACTGACACTAACCGGAGAAGTGTGCTAGGTGGTCTCGACGGTAGTCGAGACCTAAAACAGGTGGTTAAACGGTGAACCTAACCAAAATGAAGATCACGCGAGCACCCGACTCAACTAACGATCCAAAGATTCATTGGAGAGGAACGATAATCGATGAGGTCTAAAACTTTAAGTACCTCGGTTCTGTATGCTGGCATTTGTGAACTCGGGGCGACTTTATGAATTTTGGCAAGAGCGATCCGGACAGCAAGAAAGATCACGATATTGAAAGCCGCCGTCTTCTTCTCAATTCAACCGTACAGCCTTGAAACATCAACCATGAAAAAACGTTGGACAGTTTTCAGAAATGCTGCTTGCGGATCATTCTGAAAATGCGACGGTTCCATCGAATAAAGAATGAAAAGATCTTGGAGACGGCTGGCTTGAGAATGCGGTCTTAAGAAATCAGTCTGTCGTGGTTTGACAAAACCATCCGGAGAGAGAATGGAAACCTATCTAAAACCATCCACCGTTGGGAGCAAATAGGAACCGACGCGTAGGGGATCAATATTATATTCTAAAGTAGCTGCCAGAGGAGGACTTTCGACGGGGAACACGACGTTTGCAGCAACAACCAACTCCGCCTAAATCATTATGAGAAGCCAAAGAATGAGACATAATTAATGTTGGAACTCGGTGTCGGACCCTGATAGCTTAGATGATGACGACAATATGCGCAGGGAAGGAGCGTAGTGACAAAATACTGAGAGCTCCGCTTCGAATTCCTGAGGTGTCGGGTTCGAATCAGGAAGCAAATTTTGCTAGACGCTAATTACCTTGAGCATGCAATTCGCCCCATTGCTTCGGTGCAACCAGCCCAGGAATGGGAAGCAAGTCTGTGGATTTCGAACACGGACAATATCATGAAATAATGCAAACATACCACAAGAGGCGAAAAATACGGCCATTCTGATCCTTAGGGTTACTAGTCTTCCTGCCCCATCTGAAAACACTGACTGTCCAGTGAGATAACCAGCATAAGGTGTGACCCATACTAAATGGCAAAAAATGCAGAGAAGCAAGTACGGAACGCTCATTGCAAACGAAAAGTGAAGTCCTTTCGTTACATGAAAGATTATGCTTTGCGATCAAATCCAAGAGACGAGATACGTTTTTTAAAGTTCAACTTATATAAAACGAGCACTTATTAAAAAATTACATGATGATGACATATAAAAAGATGACAACGCTCTAAAATCACAGGACTTATTGTTTGAATCATTAGCCATGAACTTCCCGCAATCATGCCAAGCTTCGCACCAGCAACGGTTAGACTGTAGACAGGATCTGAAGGTAATATATGACGAGCTGCAATGCTTTCAAAATAATGCATAATGCTCGCATGCCAGAATGATGACGAACAGAATCAGTTGAACGCTAAACACAAGTGCCTACAGGACTACTCTGATACCTGTGCTCTATATAATCGCAGGAAAACGGTGCCTTTGAATATGAGGGTTTGTTTTGCCCAATGAATATGTGACAGTTCTTCTTCTGTTCGTGCTTTTAATGGATTTGACCAGAATGCGCGGATTAAGTATTGAAGACGTCAAAATTAGCAATCTGGTTTATATCAGTTACTCGAGATGATTTCTTCACATTCGTTTCATTCCGTAATAACCGTAAGCGTGTCCTTAAATTCTTTGCTGCTAAATATTTTGAATTCGGGTTGAAAATTTGCCTGACCAATCTGAGACTTTTATTCTCTTGAGAAATATCAACCGGCATGTTCTGCGGATCAAATTAAATGCAAGAACCAGAGGTAAATCAGCAAATAACAAAAGAAAATGCACTTAATACTAGCTATCACACTTGGCGGTTATCTGTCAGATGGGAAAAGTCGAACTTCAGGTGAAAGATTTCCTCGCATCAGAGAGCACAACATACATTTCCTATGTTCTGACACAACCGCGTGAAAATATCATTTCAGTTGCTGGCAAATTAAAAATTAATTGCTTTTTCTCAGCTGGTTGCAAAATAGAGTTAAGCCGCTCTGTGACAAATACTTTTTCTTGCAGCAGTAGCAAGCTAGTCATATGTAAGTCGATGTGCGTACTCAATCTCGCCACTCCTGACAAATGTTGAATGCTGCCACAGCGAGTGCAAGTACTCAACGTTTTTGAGCAGTCTTGAACGGATCTATGCCATCATTTTGAATTAAAATTTACAAATACTACTTATTTTAAGTAGATATTTGTTTTAATTATTTCCAATTTTACGCTTAGCGCAACATATGATCCACAATGACTTTGCATTTCTAAGTGAAGCATCACTTATGGATAAGACCAAAGCTGATCCTGCAGTCAATCGGTTAATGAGCTTTGCTTTGGTTCCAGCGTCCTGACTGTGCTTGAAAAACAGGTTAACAAAGCTATTTTGGCTTAAGCGAAAGGGTGCAATAATGCAGCGATTAGATCGAAATGAGCAGGCATTGGAGAAAAGAGTTTACACGTACCGACAAATTAATCTCTAACAGGGGAAGCCATACTGCATTCATTATGCACGTCTTCTTGTCTAGAGATCGTGCATTTTGGAAGAGGGCAGTCGTGAACACAAATGGTATAAACGATGACAACTTTCAACATGCTCATAACAATTTTAAAGCAGTAAGTGTTCTTTAAAGGGATGTAAGAACTATCTTTCAGTTGAAGCTTACAAAAATCCGCCATTAACTCCGCCATTGCTGGTATAAAGCAATGAGAAAGGAGGACGGTTGGAGACCGTGGCAAGTCTCCTTAAAATTCAGCCACATGACACTCATGGCATTGACGCCATCGAAAATCATACCGGTTCGGTCGTCGTCCGGGTTACCAA